AAAGAAGAACATAGCATCAGGACTTCAGGAAGACTCATTACCAACCTTCAATATGGAGATGGCACAACCTTGCTTGCTTAAAGTGAAGAGGACTTGAAGCACTTACTGATGAAGATCAAAGACCACTGCCTTCAGTATAGATTACATCTTAACATAAAGAAAACAAAAATTCTCACAACTGGACCAATAAGCAACATCATGATAAGTGGAGAAAAGATTGAAAGTTGTCAAGGATTTCATTTTACTTGGATCCACAATCAACACCCATGGAAGCAACAGTCAAGAAATCAAATGATGTATTGCATTGGGTAAATCTGCTGCAAAACATCTCTTTGAAGTGTTAAAAAGCAAAGATGTCACTTTAGGGACTAAGGTACGCCTGACTCAAGTGATGATCTTTTCAATTGCCTCATATGTGTGCAAAAGCTGGACAATGAATAAGGAAGACTGAAGAATTGGTGCCTTTGAATTATGGTGTTGGCAAAGAATATTGAGTATATCATGGACTGCCAGAAGAATGAACAAATCTCTCTTGGAAGAAGTATAGCCAGAATGCTCATTAGAACGGAGGATGGTGAGACTTTGTTTCACATACTTTGGATATGTTATCAGGAGGGACCAGTTCCTGGAGAAGGACATATGCTTGGTAAAGTAGAGGGTCAGAGAAAAAGAGAAAGACTCTCAATGACATGGATTGACACAGTGGCTGCAACAATGGGCTCAAACAGCAGTAATAGTGAGGATGGCACAGGACCGGGCAGTGTTTCATTCTGTTGTGCATGGGGTTGCTGATAGGAATTAACCTGACTGCACCTAACAACAACAACATACACTAAATATACCAATATACTAAAAAATACAATTTAGTTGGCAAATTATGTGAATTACATATCAATAAAGCTATTAAAAATGAATGAGCTATCAAGAAATAATAAGATGAATAAGGAATGCAAATACATAGATGAATCTTAAATATATATTACCAGGTTGAAGAAGTCAGTCTGAAAAGGCTACGTATTGTATGATTCCATTTATATAACATTCAGGAAAAGATAAAACCATAGGCGATGGTAGGGTTTGAAGAAGTGATGCACAGGAATTTTTAGGGCAGTGAAACTACTCTGTATCATACTAAAATGGTGGATACATGATACTATGCATTTTTCAAAACCTACAGAACTTTACAGAACAAAGAGTGAGTCTTAAGGTATGCAATTAAAAAAAATAATAATTTAGGAGGCCAGGGATCTCAGGATGGAATGAAGACTGTGACCAAAAAAAAAAAAAAAATTATGAGTACAGAATAACCTCACTGAAATCAGTGTAGGGAAAAGGTGTTGACCTAAGTATGTTTGGAAAAGAATGGAGTCTGTAAGACTAAAGGCAAAAAGAACTGTACATAAGCACTCTACTCTAGTTGATAATGTTGTTTCCCATTGGGATTGTTGTTGTTAGATGCTGTCGAGTCGGTTCCAGCTCATAGTGACCCTATGTACAACAGAACGCAACACTGCCCGGTCCTGCGCCATCCTCACAATCGTTGTTAAGCTTTAGCCCACTGTTGCAGGCACTGTGTCAGTCTCTGTCTTTGAGAGTCTTCCTCTTTTTCACTGACCTTCTACTTTACCAAGCATGATGTCCTTCTCCAGGGACTGGTTCCTCCTGACAACATATCCAAAGTATGTGAGACAAAGTCTCACCATTCTTGCTTCTAATGAGCATTCTGGCTGTACTTCTTCCAAGACAGATTTGTTTGTTCTTCTGGCAGTCCGTGGTATATTCAATATTCTTCGCCAACACCATAATTCAAAGGCATCAATTCTTCTTCAGTCTTCCTTATTCATTGTCCAGCTTTCACGTGTATATGAGGCAGTTGAAAACACCATGGCCTGGGTCAGGTGCACCTTAGTTTTTTAACTAAGTGACATCTTTGCTTTTTAACAATTTAAAGAGATCTTTTTGCAGCAGATTTACCCTATGCAATGCGTTGTTTGATTCCTTGACTGCTGCTTCCATGGGTGTTGATTGTGGATCCAAGTAAAATGAAATCCTTGACAACTTTCAATCTTTTCTCCACTTATCATGATGTTGCTTCTTGGTCCAATCATGAGGATTTTTGTTTTCTTTATGTTGAGGTGTAATCCATACTGAAGGCTGTGGTCTTTGATCTTAATCAATAATGCTTCAAGTCCTCTTCACTTTCAGCAAGCAAGGTTGTGTCATCTGCGTATTGAAGGTTGTTAATGAGTCTTTCCTCAATCCTGATGCTGCATTCTTCTTCATATAGTCCAGCTTCTTGGATTATTTGCTCAGCATACAGATTGAATAAATATGGTGAAAGGATACAACCCTGACTCACACCTTCCTTGACTTTAAACCACACAGTATCCCCTTGTTCTGTTAGAAAGACTGCCTCTTGGTCCAAGTACAGGTTCCTCATGAGCACCATTAAGTGTTCTGGAATTCCCATTCTTCCCAATGTTATCCATAATTTCTTATAAGCCACACAGTCAAATGCCTTTGTATAGTCAATGAAACACAGGTAAACATCTTTTTGGTATTCTCTGCTTTCAGCCATGATCCATCTGACATCAGCAATGATATCCCTCATTCCACATCCTCTTCTGAATCCAGCTTGAATTTCTGGCAGTTTTCTGTCGATGTACTGCTGCAACTGCTTTTGAATGATCTTCAGCAAAATTTTAATTGCGTGTGATATTAATGATATTGTTCAATAATTTCCCCATTCTGTTGGATCACCTTGCTTTGGAATGGGTACAATTATGGATCTGTTCCAGTTGGTTGGTCAGGTAGCTGTCTTCCAAATTTCTTGGCATAGACGAGTGAGCACTTCCAGCACTGCATCTGTTTGTTGAAACATTTCAGTTGATATTCTGTCAATTCCTGGAGCCTTGTTTTTTGCCAGTGCCTTCAGTGCAGCTTGGACCTCTTCCTTCAGTACCATCAGCTCTTGATCATATGCTGTCTCCTGAAATGGTTGAACATTGACTAACTGGTCCCACTGGGTTACCAGTTAACAATTCTGAAACACTATACATGTATACCGAAATCGAACAATTAAGGAAATGGATGGCAAATGGTGGGAGTCAAGTTTCTCACTGTTGGAGTCTAGTTGCCCAAGGGAAGAAGGCTAAAATGACCCATATAGTACTGGCTAAAATGACCTATGTAGAGTTGGAGACATCATTATGAACTCATGCTTAGGTTAATATAGATACAGATGGACACATGAAGAAATATTTATAGATATGTGTACACACACAGGCTAGTGTACACACATATATTTCCTTTCTCTGTTGGCTGAGAGGGCCTAGACGCAATAATACCTTAGTTGCAAAAAGCACACCTAGTGCCCAGATATTCATTTCTAATACATTCTCCAATAAAAGGAACCAGGGCTCCTTGCAGAATTGGCTTATCGTAGGTCTGGGGCAGAAAATATAAAAAATGAGCCTGGAACTCCAGTGATTTGAGATACCACCTTTCTGCATGTATAATATACCTTAATTTGAAGTTCACATTTAAAAGGAGAGATTAAGAGAAAGAACCAACAGAATGTGGTAAATCTGATTAGATGGGAATGGAGAGGAACAGAAAGGGTCTAGTAGGATTCATGGTTTTTGACCCGAGCAACTGGCAAATGGCGTTCCCCTTTACGAGATGGGAAAGAAGAGAGGAAGAATCATTGCGGGCACATGGTGGGAAATCAAGTTCAGTTTTAGACATGCTATGATGGAGGTACCCAGCGGGCATTCAAGTGAAGGTGACAAGTAGCCACTTAGATATTCAAATCTAGAACCCCAGGAGGAAGTCAGAGCTGGGAGTCCTCACTGTCTAAATAGAATACAAGACCATGAGACTGGTTGAAATCCATAAAAGAGTGAGTGTGGAAAGAGGTTAGGAGGTGCAAGGACTGAGGACGGGGGAGGGGACTTGGACTGGCAAAGGATAAGAGCCAGCAAGGAGACCAAGAAGGAGCAGCCAGAGAGAGACAGGGAGAAAATCAGGAGAGTGTGGCATCTATAAGGCAAACAGTTTCATGGAGGACAGAGTGATCACCATGTCTAAAGCTGCTCATAGGTCAGAATGAGATCTGAGAATTGACCACTGGATTTAGCAACATGGAGGTCATTGGCAAACTTGTTAAGGACAGTTCCGTGGAATGGTGGAGACTAAAGTGTGTAGCAGGAGAGGACAGAATGGGAGGTAAGGACAGGAAGATGTGGAATACAGACTGTTCTTCCAAGAGTTTTGCTGCTCAGGGAAGCAGAGAAATGGGGCAGAAGGCAGAGGAGACAGTGGGGTCAAGAAATTTTTAACAGTTGCCATTGAGTGGATTCCAACTCATGGCAACCCCATTTGTGTCAAAGTAGAACTGTTCTCCATAGAGTTTTCAATGGCTGAGTTTTTGGAAGTAGACTGCCATACTTTTCTTCCAAGGTGTCTCTGGGTGAACTCAAATCTTCAACCTTTCTGAGATGGGATGCGCTTGGTTAGCAGCTGCCATGTTTAAGGTTTGCACCACTCAAGGACTCCAAGGGATTTTTAGGTGGGAGCTATTACAGCATATCTGTGAACTGCTGACAAGGATCCAGTGGTGAGGGGCAGTAGACATGACAGGAAAAAGAGAGAAGACACTAAATGAAGCCAGGTCATTGAGAGGTGAAATCCAGAACCAAGCATTCTGCTTGGGGCTTTACCTGCCAAATGGTAGAAGGGGCAAGATTTGAGCAGTCAGAAAAAGATAGCCTGGCAATAGGGCAGATAATGAAGGAGCCTAAGGGCTTTGAAAGTCTTCTCTTCCTTCCTCTAGCCGGGCCTCAGAGTAGGCGGGATTCAAAGGTTTCTTCTGTGAAGCTTGCTCCTCCCAGGGGAGGGCAGGGAGGCCGTGAGCCTGGGCTGGGTGTGGCATCCTGCATGCTTGCACAACCTTGGGCTGCCACAAAAGCCTGTGGGTTCCTGGGGTCACAGCAGTGCTCTGAGACGCAGCAGCCGGAGCCAGGCAGAGGTGTCGGCATGGTGGAGTTCGCGCCCCTGTCTGTGCCATGGGAGCGCAGGCTGCAGACTTTGGCAGTCCTGCAGTGGGTCTTCTCCTTCCTGTTTCTGGGTAAGTTAGGGCACCTGGGACCTGCCAAGCAGCCACTCCAGGTGCACAAAGGTCACTGAGAGAGAAAAGACTTTTGTCCAAAGGGGGGCTTTGCTGCACTTATGGACCCTGCCCAGAGAGATCTCTTGGACCTGTGCAGCATCCTTTGGGGGGTGCAGGAGGGTGTACGTGTTGAGGAAGGGGTAGATAGAGGCCATGGCTTTGGGCAGGTTACTTCACTTTCCTGGGCTTCCCTCAGTATTTGGACGGACATCCTGCCCCAGGCCAGAGGGAAAGATTGAGGTGGGAAAGTTTTGAGCTCTTGAGGGGTGGAGGGGCTCAGAAAGGATGGATTTCCTTCCTTGCTTTCAGAGAGGATGAAACTGAGGGAAAGAACTGGAGGGGAAGAGAAAGTGCAGGCTGAGCAGGGTGAACAGAGGAGTGAGTAGGCATCAGGCAAACTTGGCGTCAGACTCCTGCTGGGCAAGCTACCAGCTGTGTGGCCTTGGCCGACCCTTGCCTGACTGTTCCAGGCCTCTACTTTGTCATCTGCAGAATGGCAACAACAATCCCGACCTTACAGGGCTTGAATAAAAAATGTGGGGATTAAATGAAGAAATGTGCTTATGTCTGCCCAGCCCACACCTGGCTGGACCCTGGGCTGTGACCACACAAGAGGGTGTGGGTACACCCCTCTGCCCCTCCTCGCCAGTAAACACATTGATGGTGGCCAGAGAGGGCATATCCACCCAAACTCCAGCTCTGCTGAAGGGGATGTTTTTGGAAGGAGCTGGGACTGTGGATTGGGAAGGAAGAGTGACTGTGAGTGTGTGGGATTTTTCATTCCCTCTGTTGGCACCTGACTGGATGGGAACTGCTACCCTGGGGCTGGTGTTCAGCCTGTACACAGATACCACCATCCTGGCTGTTAAACACTGACATACTCAGTACAGGTTGGTCAGTAGCCATTTTCCTGATCCCTTTCCCCTCCATCATGCTCCGCTAAAGCCTCCCCACAATTTTGCAGCTAAAGTATTAACCCCAGGTTAAGCAGGCCTTCCAGGACCCTGCTCCAGCCATGGTCAGTGTCTCCGTCCTAAGGGTTGTTACACATTTTTAATATCCTGGCTTATCCTCATTACACAGATAAGCGGAGAAATTATCTTAAATGCCCAGGGTTGCCAGAACCTGGGCAGTAGTCAAAGAGAGAAAGGCAAAGGAGGCAGTGGGAGGTGAGAGGGGCAGAGGGTGCTGTGAGGAGATATGGGCGACAGTGGGCGGACAGAGCATAGGGAGGTCCTAGCCCAGAGCAGCAGTGAGGTCTGCTGGCTCCTCCCCCATCTCAGGACAAAGGGCACTGGGGAGGAGCCCCTAGGCGGCACAAATGGTTAAGCGCTTGGCTACTAGCTAAAACGGTGGCAGTTCAAATCTACCCAGAGGTGCCTTGGAAGACTGGCCTGGCAATTTCCTTCTGAAAGTTCACAACCTTGAAAAGCCTATGGAGCACAGTTCTACTCTGCACACATAAGGTCACCATGAGTTGAAATCCACCTGATGGCAACTAACAACAAGAAACAAAGGGCACTGGGAGCCAAGAGCCAGGTGATCTGTGCCCCAGGGCCAGTGGATCCGCATGGATGACAGCAGATGAGGGACCTTGTGCCCAGCTTGACTTGTGTGAGCTTTGAGAGCAGAAGTGTGTCTGCCTGGTCATGCCTACAGGCCTGGAAATCACAGGAGCCTGGGAACCTCAAGAGTAGCACTGAGGCATCAAAGCAACCTGGGGCCTGGAGGACCAGAGGAAGGACAGCTGAGAAAAGGTGTCTGGGTCCACTCATGCCAGTCTAGGAGGTTGTACCTAGGAGAGAGAGCTGATCCTGAGGGAAAGGGGAGCTTTAGGTAGGTGAGTGACAAGGTCCAATCTGTGTGTTAAAGGTCCCTGTGGCTGCAGTGGAGGCATCCACTGTATTCAGGGTGTGGGGGAAGAGACAGGTGGAGGGAAGCAGTCACAGTCTCCATCAGGGGACACCAAATTACAGCCCAGGGGCTAAGTCCTGCCTACTGTTTGTGTTCAGCCTGAAATCTAAACATGGTTTTAACATTTTAAGATAGTTACATTTTAAGTAGTTATATCCGTACCTACATACCAAAAACTCAAAATCAAACCCATTGTCTTTGAGTCGTTTCTGACTCATAGCGACCCTGTAGGACAGAGCAGAACTGCCCCGTAGAGTTTCCAAGGAGCTGCTGGTGAATTCAAACTGCCGACCTTTTGTTTAGCAGCCAAGGTCTTAACCACTGCATCACCATGGCCCCATACCTACATAATGACCTCTAATTTGTCTCTTGGGCTGCAAAGCCTAAAATATTTCCGATCTGGTCTTTAAGAAAAGGTTTGCTGACCCCTGGTTTAGACGGAAGAGGCTGGTAGAGAGATGTGTCCTGGTTCAAGAGAGATTTTAGAGATGGGATTCACAGGGCAGGTGGCTGCAAGTGTGCATGGAGGGGGAGGGAGGAGGCCCGGTTGAAGCCAGGGCTTGTCCAAGGCATGGCTGGCTGTCCTCACCCAACTCAGGCACTGGGAAGAAGAAGGTGTGGGAAATCAGGGGGAGTGAGATTGAGGGCAGTTGGTTTTGAGGGGCTTGTGGGGCCTGCAGGGGGAGAAGCCACCAGTTAGTTACCATTCTGTGTGAGCAGTGTTGTTCTAACAGGTGAACGAAGAGCAGCATGGGGATAGGGTGGAGGGCAGGAAGAAGAGTAACACAGCAAGAATGGCTTCAGGGAGGTGGTGTTTAAGAGGAGTTTTAAAGAATACTTAAGGATTTAAAGGCTGGCCGGAGAATAAGGGCCTCCCAGGCAGGGGAACCAAGGTGGCATATGGGGCTATGCACAGTTATTGAACAGCTGGTATACCCTGGAGTTATTGGATGCATTTTGGGGAGTGGCAAGAAATGGCTGGAGAAATCCAATAAGACCAGTCACTGTGGGCCTAGAGTCTGGAACAAATATTTTCCAAATTGGTTACTTATTTACTGTCTGTTTGCCCTCCTCCACAATTCACACACTCTCACACAAGAAGTTAAACTCCATTCAAACCGAATTTGTCTTGTTCTTGACTGCATCTTTAGCTCTTAGAAGAGTTAGAAGATAAACATTTGTTGAATGAATGAATGTCAGGAGCATTATATAGCCGAAAGAATAGGGTTGAATCCTAGATCCCACCTTACTAACTTACTGTGTGACTTTAGCCAATTTACATACCCTCTGTGGGCCTCTGTAAAGTGAGGTTTTAAGCTTTTCCCTCTCCGGGCTGTGAGGACTGAATGAAAAAAAAGTGTCTCCCTTCCTAAATAACTGTAAAGACTCACAGTCTGTGTTTTGTCTGCTAAAAGGAGTTAAAGAGGGAGCCCAGGGTGGGGTGGTGTAGGGGAAGTCTTCTCTGGTCAAGTACAAATGCCCTGTGTTTTCCCCTAACCTTTTTTTTTTTCTGACTGCAAAAGTAGTACATATTTATTGTAAAACATCCAGAACAAAATGTTGGCCTCCAGGTAAGCACCATTAACAGTTTGTTTGTTTTTTCTCTAGAGCTGCCTTTCTTAAAGTGGGAGCCACGGGCACAGACCTTTATTTTGCCTGAGGGGAGGGAGCCCTAGCTGGGGTTCTTTATTATTTTTAGTTGTTTTTTTTTTTTTTAACATTAAAAAAATTTAATGTAAAAAAATAAATAAGATTAAGTCATTCTCCTTTCCATCCTTGTCCCTGGCATCCTGTCTCCTTCCCCCAAATTTATGGACCTCCTTCCATTCTCTCTTCCATGTACAATCATATATGCACAGATGTTCTTTTTCACACAAATGATGCATTTTATTCCTACCGTTTTACAACTTCCTCTCCTCCTTTTTTTTCTTTTTTATAAAGTGTAAAAATACAGAACACAGCATTTGCAATTCCAGTTTTCATGTATATAATACAGTGAGATCACCTACATCAATCATGTTGTGCCACCATCACCAATATCCTTTGCCAAGTTTTCCATTCCCAGAACCTTTCTTAAGAATTTTAATATAAAATATTTAAGACAAAAAAAAAAATACACTGACCAACCCACAAGGAGTCGATGGTCCTTTCCCACCCATTCTGGGGATCGCAGTTTGGCCAGGAAGGTAAGGTAGAGTTCAGTTAGGGTGGTGACTGGCGGCCAGTCTGGGAACGGGGGCGTGGAGTGGGGGTGGGAATGCCCAGAGGAAGGAGCTGCCCCAGAAGAATGCCTATTCAGGGCTGAGATTTCTTCCAGTTTTTCAGGACACATCAGTATCTGGGTTTGTATGCGAAGCCTCCCCATTTTTCACTGTTATAACTAATCCAACAGTGTTTAAAACCTAAGGGCACCAAACAAAGCACTGGCAAGTCAGCTCCGTGAGGGCAGGGATTTCTCTGTCGTTCACGGCTGTACCAGCAGCACTTGTTGCATCAGAGGTGCTCCGTGTCAAGTGAACATTTGTGGGCCCCAATCTGCATCTTCTGGCTGATGAATCTTTTCTACAGTTCAGAGTCAAAGTCTGCTCCTTCAGGAAGCCAGCCAGGATTGGCAGTCCCAGTCCATCCTACTTTCAAATGGACTACACAACTGGGAGCTAGCCTTCTTTAAGAATATGAGAGCATGATGTTGAGTATGACTGCATGGGGAGGGAGGTATATTCTCTGGGGATGATGCTCCAGGAGCATCAGTTTAGGGGCTGCCCCCCAGACCACCTGACTCAGAGATGAAGCCAGAATTAGCGTGTAGCAAGGGATGTAGGATGGTTGGTTCAGAGGGGAATTGCACACTGGGCCTGGACCTAGCCCGGCTGCAGCCCTGACCTGCAGGGCAGCCAGGCACTGGCACCTTCCTGCTTCTCTCCTTCACCAGGAAAGGGCACCGAAGGCAGAGGAAACAGCATAAGCAAACTCTTAAGAGACAGAAGCAGGCTCAGTGAGTTTTAGGAACACCAAGCAGTTTAGTGTGGCTGGAGCATTGGGTGTGTAACGGGAGAGGTGAGGCTGGAGCAGGAGGAATAGGGCCAGCTTATAGGGAGCATGAATGCCAGGCTAAGATGGTTGCACTGTGCCTTGAGAGATTATGGGAAAGCCATGGAAGGGCTTTAATTAGAGGAGGGAACTGGCCAGACTTGTCTTTGGAAAGATGAGACAGAGGGGCGGCAGAAAGACGGTCTTCTTTGTCACTGAGATGCCAAAAGATGGAAAGCAGAACAGTTAATCCAATCAGTTGTCTACCAAGCACTCACTGAGCATCTACTGTATTAGTACGCATTAATTGACACCTGATGGGGCCCTGGTGGCACAGTGGTTGGCACAGAGGTTAAATGGCTGCTAACTAAAAGGTTGGCAGTTTGAATCCACCAGCCACTCCTTGGAAACCCTACAGGGCAGGTCTACTCTGTCCTATAGGGTAGTTATGAGTCTGAATCGATTTGACAGCAAAGGGGTTTTTTGGGTTGGTGAATGAGGGATACTTTACTGGAGGGTGTTGGGAAAGGGGGAGACTGGAGTGAATGAGGCAGTCTAGTGCAGTGGGGGAGTCCCTGGGTGGTGCAAACAGTTAACATGCTCAGCTGTTAACCAAAAGGTTGGAGGTTCGAGTCTATCCAGAGGTGCCTTGGAAGAAAGTCCTGGTGATCTACTCCCAAAAAATCAACCACGGAAAACCCACGTTTTTACTCTTACACACATGGGGTCACTATGAGTCAGAGTTGACTCAACGGCAACTGGAACAAGAAGTGCAGTGGGAAAAAAGGAGTGAGGTCTAACAGTACTAGTTGTTGTCGAGTCAGTCCTGACTCATGGTGACCCCACGTGTGTCAGAGTAAAACTGTGCTCCATAGGATCTTCAATGACAGTTTTTTCAGGAGTTAGACCTACTTAGGTTCAAACCCATGTTCCCAGTGTGATATTGGGCTGGCTGGCTGCATTCCCTCCTTGAAGGCATGGGGAACTGATCTCTTCCTCCTGGGATTGAGGGCTGGATAGAACGGTGCTGCCAGTGCTGGGCATAGGGGGACAGCTTAGTCTGGGGGTCTCACCTGCCTCACTCTCAGACCTCTGACCACTGACGGCACCTACTTCCCTCCCCAGCCCAGATCTGCACTGTGGTCTTCATAGGCCTCCTGTTCACAAAATTCTGGTTCCTCACTGTCTTGTATGCAATCTGGTGGTACCTGGACTGGGACAAGCCATGGCAGGGGGGCAGGTCCATCCAGTTCGTAAGGCGCTCGATCGTGTGGAAGTACATGAAGGATTATTTCCCTGTTTCGGTGAGTACTGGGTCTAGTGGCTGGGGTAGGGTCAGGGCCACAAGGCCCCACATCTCCTGTGTACAGGGAACAGAATACTGGGCTGGGAGACAGGAGCTGGACATCCACCACTATATGACCTGGGGGAGAGTCCCAGATTCTCTCTGGTATTGGTTTCTCCACCTATACAGTAGACATGAGGGGCCAATATGGGGATTGACAAATGTACAGAATTTGAAGGTGCTCCGTAGGGCATATAGTGTGGCACACATATGTATCTTACAGGTGTAAACTCCCCAGTGGCCCAAATTTGGAGCGTGAAGATAATAAACTCACAGGCCCTAAGAGACCATCTGGGCCCACACTTGCCTTCATTAGATGAGGAGACTGACACTGAGAGGGAAAAAGGCGTGCCCAAGGTCACATGGCAAGTTCTTTTACTGGTTTCAAAGTTTGTGCACTGGCAGTGGATAAAAGTAGCGGGGACAGAGCCTGAATTGGTTCTCAGGTTCTATTCTGCCCCTAACTCTGGTATGCTGTGTGTTCTTGGGCCAGGCATTACCCTATTTTGAGCCTCAGTTTCCCCCCATATCCAGTAAGCACACTGGTCCCTCCCACTCTGTGTGCCTTTGAATCTCTGACTCTGGTTCGGGGCACCCTGTGGTCATTGGTGGACAGTTGGCCCTGGATTCGAAGGTCAGTCTCTGGATTTAAGTGAGCAGACCCTTCAGCTCCTTTACTGAATCCCAGACAGACTAAACCCTTGGATCTAAGCAGCTGGGCAGGGACGATTAATTGGCCAGATGGGATAGGATGGGGAAGGCAGTAGAGACACAGAGACGTGCCTGGCAGGGTCAATTGACGCTCCTCGGGAAACAGGGAAGGAGAAAGGTCTAGCTAGGGTATGGCCTCTGGAGCTAGACAGACTGTATTCTAACCCTAGGGCTGCCACCTACTAGCTGTGTGATCTTGGGTAAGTTACGTAGTCTCTCTGAGCCTCAGTTTTCCCGTATGTAAAATGATGATGATACCACATACCTCACAGGATTGTGTGGATCCACTGAGACAAAGCAGGCAAAGCAACTGGTAGGTTCTCAGTGAATAAGTAGGCAATACAGGTAGTCCCCGACTTACGACAGGGGTTCTATTCTGATGACAGTCGTAAGTCAGTTCTGATGTAATACAGTTGGCCCTCTGTATCTGCGGGTTCTACATCTGTGGATTCAACCAAATGCAGATTGAAAATACTTTAATTTAAAAAAAAAAAAAAAGAAAGTTCCAAAAAGCAAAACTTGAATTTGCCACACATCAAGCACTACAGTAAATACACACGAATGAAATCATGTGTAGGCATACCCTGTTATAGCCTGCCACCCTGTCACAGATCCTCAGTCTCTCTCCAACCCTCGGTGTTTGAGCATTGTTTGCCTCCAGTCTTGTCTTTGTCCCCTAAACAATACAGTACTATATAAAAACTTTTTACATAGCATTTACATTGTATTAGGTATTATAATCTAGAGATGATTTAAAGTACACTAGAAGATGTGCATAAGTGATATGCATATATTATTTTATATAATGGACTTGAACTTCCAAGGATTTTGCTATCCATGGGGGTCCTGGAACCAGTCCCCCCATGGATACCAATGGACAACTGTATCTCTTTTTTTTTTTTTTTTCAGTTTTCATTATTATTGCCTTTTATTATCAGTATCTATAAATCAGATCTATATTGTCTTTGGGGTTGGAAACATTACATATAAACTTATAGATATATTTTAATACATGCATACATTAAAAAAATACCCAAATCATAAAATTTACTCTGACAATGAAATTAACAACCGATGCTTCTGCTGGTATGAAATGGCGACTAAGATCAGGCTTGGTCTGCAATGACGTTAGCGTCAGTGTCGTAACAATGAAGTAATAATAACGGCTGCCAGGCACTTGCGAAAGCCTGTGACATTAGAGTTGAACATTGCCCAACTTTCTATCCCTTCCAACTCCTGACATCAACACCAACTTCATTGTAGACCAGGCCATAACCTGATATACAGCAGTGTTTTGAACAGTAAATCATAGCCTTGAACATCCGCAGGTGAACATCTGAGAATGATAAAATCAGCAAATTGTGTGTTGTAACATCGTATGCGGTACGTTACTAACGTTAAAAAAAAAAAAAGTCATACATACATGTTGTCCCTTGAGACTTGAATACATCATAGTAAATTGAGGACTACCTGTATTATTATTTTACTGAGTACTGGGGACTCTGAGGAGGCATGGGTGTGGCTGTGGGCCTGGGAAGGATAGCCGATAGCCTGGGGCCTTGCTGCTCTGACCTTCACATCTAGTCACCTCTCCCCCACATCCAGGAGCACCACCTCTTTCTGTCCCTCCAGGAATCGAGCCCTGGCTGGTAAAGCCGGGCTGCCAGTGTGAGAGAGTGGAGGAAACAGGCTCACAGAGGTTAAACCACTGCCTGAGTCATGGGGTGTCAGCCACAGGATCAGGGCTCCCAGCTTGCTACCTTTTGAGAGTCCTGGGGCCCTACAAGGACAAGCAAAGGCTCGGCAACAAATGGGGTGCCGGGGCCCCTAGCACCTCCAGTGATCAGGGCCTCCAGGTCGAAAGGCAAGGGTGGGGCATGGCAGGGCAGGGGCAGGGTCTAGGCAGAGGACAGAGTCTGGGTAGAGACTTACACGTTCCTTAGATGTTAAAGGGCAGGGCGAGGGGTCAGGGGCTGAGCAGGCCTGGGGCGTCCAGACGGGGAGCCTTCCCTGCCCACCATATCTACTTCCTCCTCTGGGCCTCCTCCCAGGGTCTTATCAGCAGAGACAAATATGGCTTGCTTGCTCCTGAGAGGAGCCATGGGTGTGTCATGGCCAGACTCCCCCATCCCCACCCCAGGATCGCTAAGCTTTAAGATTCTGAACTTCTCCCTTCCCTCCCTCTCCTCTCCCATCTCCCTCTTCTGTGCCATGGAGGTCAGAGTTTCCAGGGGGAGGAGTTCTTGTGAAAGACCTCAAATCAAGAGCCCAAGAAAACCTTAAACAGGTCTGGTCTATAGCAGAGCTTTCTGGATTCTGGGCCGTGGCATTACTAGGGGGCATGGGGGGTGCAGACGACACGTGGTGGCACTGTCAGAAGGGGTGATACCAGATGACTGTCTATAAAACTTTTGTGCAGTGTTTCAGCAGAAATTCATTATTTTTTATAAAATATCCCTGTAGTTAGTTATAAAAACAATAGCTTTTTTCGTAAGCCCAGCTTACATTAATAACATACCTACAAGGCTAAAACTCTATGCTAATTTACTTTTTGATCCTTCTAACGCACCCCGGTCCAGAGCCCTGGTGGTGCAGTGGTTAAGAGCTACGGCTGATAACCACAAGGTTGGTAGTTCAAATCCACCGGCCTCTCCTTAGAAACCTTATGGGGCAGTTCTACTCTGTCCTATATCTACTTAGGGTAGATTTGAGTTGCTAGCTATCTACTTAGGGTCTCTATGAGTCCAATGGGTTTTTTTTTTTTTAATGAGCTCTGGTCAGAGCTGTCATTATTACTCAGTTACAATGACTTGGAATCACGTGGTTTCATCTGCACGTGCCACAAGCACCGGCTATTGTTTTCGTTGCTGTCAGTGTTTTTATAATCATTGATTTTGTCAAAATTTCTGGTGTTTTAGCTACAATATTGTGGTAATTAGCATAGGGGGGTTGACACCATGAATTACCTGCACTGGGTGACACCAACCCTGGTGATACCCCTGATTCTGGCTCTGATATCACCTCCCATTGTGAGTCAGTTCCTGAGTTCACCAGGGAAATGGGGGAAAGGTGAGGTGTCCTGAAAAGGAGGCAGCACAAGCAAAGGCCAGGAAACTTGCCAAACTATGATTTTTGAGCCATAGTGTGACGTTCAATGTGACTAAAGCAGAAGGTGCTCCCAGTGATGAAGCTGGAGGGGTTTTCGGGGACAAGGTGATGGAGGCCATTGAAGGACATTCCACACAACTGGGGTCCTCAACTGAGAGTTCTCCGAGGGCTGTCCCCTGGTCAGCCCAAGGCCTCCAAAGGAGAGAGCATCTGGGCCTCTTTGCACCTGGAGTCGCTGCAAGTTACAGGTTTGGCAGAAATTACGCTGAGGTGGCTCTGTGCCTATCCTATCACACTGGGACACTGGACTCAATTTGCAGAAATTCCACGTGCATAGTTTTGCAGAATTGTTGATACTGGAGGCCTCTTGCACCATCACTGACTGAGGGTGGGCAGTACTACTGAGTGGCCAGCAGAGGGCAAGAAGCTGTTCTCTTTGACTTTGCTTGCCCTAGGCTGGAGCCTGCAAGAGTGGGGCTTGGCACTTCCACACACCTTTACATCATAGGCCCTGCAGAGATCTTGGAGTGAGCAGGAAATGGGGAGTCCTAGCTCTGTTGCAAGCTTCCCTTGGCATTCATGAGCCTCTCTGCACTCTTCCAATGAGAGTGGTCCTCTGATGATTTCTGAGGTTCTGCCACTTCTTATTGTGACTTTATGAACAGCATTTAATGGTGGAATTTCAAGCAAAATTAGGAAATGGTTTCAGGCCTGGGAACTTTCTAAAGTCACCCTGTGGGTCTCTCAAAGAGCGATGATGGAGAATCAGGCAATGTTTAGTGTAGGAGGAGCAATCACCACCTCATGCTGAAGAAGTGCCCAGGAGCAGGGTTCTCCCATTATCAGTGTTTCATCATCTTGGAGCGAACACTGTCTTCATAGTCCAAGGCCTTAGGAGGAGGAAGTGCTGTGGCCAGGGCTGTGATGTTGGTTGTCAGGAACTGCTGCCCACACAGTTCTGGTCAATGTCAAACCCAGGCTTATGACAGTGCAAGGCACCTCCCTAAGCCCCTCACAGCCACCCCTCACCCCAAACACACACCTGGGACAAACCTTCAGGTCCTCCACAGCCTGGCGGGCATCGCTAGGGACATAGAGCCCGGAACGCCCGCCCGCCCAGCCTCCTCTCAGCACACTGGGGTCTCTTAACCTGAGTCAGCGGGACTTAAATGGCCAGCTGCTCACCCAGGACAGGAGTTCCAGCTTACACAGCCCTCGGGACAGGGCACTCACTTCCTCCTGAGAGGGTTCCTTTCCGTATTGGAGGACTGTGCCTATGAGAGGGTCTTTCTTCACATAGAGCTGAGGCCTGTCTCCTGGATATCCCCAGGAGTCCTACCTCTTCTCTGGACAATGGTGCTGGTACAGAGTGCAGCTTCACCCTCATCTGTGAGACTTCCCTGTACGGGTTGGGGAGCTCCCCGTCCTGTCCACTCTACTGCCCTTCCTGCCCCTCTCTCAGTCATGTAGCTCTCAAGGAGGGTTTCTCAACCTCAGCACTATTGACATTTTGGGCCAGACATTTCTCTGTTGTGGAGGTCTGTCCCCTTCCTGGCTTCTACCCTCTAGATGCCAGTAGCACCCCTCCCCCACTGCTACTCTACCAAGCTGTGACAATCAAAAATGTCTGCAGATATCACTAAACATCCCCTGGGTGAGACGGGAATCGCCCCTGGTTAAGAACCACTGCTCTAGAGTCTGGGGTCTGCCTCCTAAACTCCTCCAGATCTGACCCTTCTCTCCTCCTCTACTACCCTAAATCCTGACCACAGTCATCTCTTTAACTGGCTCCGCTTTTGCCAACACCCTCTGCAGTCCATCCTCCACACAGCAGCCAGAATGATCCACATAAAATGTTAAAACACAGCAGAGACTCCTGTTACACTTGGAATAAAATCTAATCTCTGTCACAGCCTGCGGGTCCCTGCACTCTGGGCCCCTGCCCGCCCACTCCTCACCTGCCTCTCCCTCCCCCTTCGCCAGCCCAGTTCTCCAGGCACGAGTCATGTCACTTGTGCTGGTTCCCCTACTTGAAGTGCACATGCTCCCCACTGCCCAATTAATCCCCACCACCTTTAACTTGGGGACTCCTACAAGGTGGCAGAGCCTGCTGGTTAAGCACATGGAGCCAGGCTACCTGAGTTCAAATCCTGGCTCTGCCACTTTACTAGCCGTGTGACCTTGAGCAAGTTAATTAATCTTGTGTCACAGTTTCCTCATCTGTAAAATGGCAGCAGTCAGACCAGTACTTCCCTCAGAAGCTTGATGGAGGATGAAGCAAGTTGGTGTAGATAAGGTGCCTGGAATGTAATAGGTGCTGGGAATGCTTGCCCTTCTGTCACTCTTTCTGGCTTCAGTGCCTGGCACATACTGTATTTCTTCAACTCTAAGAGACCCTCAGTGCTAAGACGTACTGGTATTTTATGTACCACTAAAAAAAAAAAAAAAAAAAATTCTTGCAGTTAAAGTTGATTTTGGAATGTTCAGATATGACAAAGGTGCATCTTAGAATTGATGGAATATGTGTGTAGGTGTTAATGAGTGTCTGTTAGATGAGTGCGTGACTATGGAAGAGGGAGAGTGCTGGGCTGAGAACTTATCAACTGAGAAGCCTAGGGAGGTGGAAACCCAACCCAGGGCCACATAGTGAGTTCCTGCTAGGGCCAGGGGAGAAACCAAGCCTTCCCTTCTATCAGGCCATGGCCTAGGAGACAGGGAAGGGCCCCAGTACTTTATTTTCCCTGCCAGTGGAAGCCAGGTGACATGTTAGGGCAGGATCAGGGCCAGGGGGCCTTCCTTCCAAGGCAGGTTGTATTGGCCTCCTCTGTTTATGGGTTCATTCATTCATTCCTTCATTCCATAGTCTTTTTAGAACATCTCCTGCTGTGCTGGGACACAGAGATGTATCAGACACGTGACCTCTAATCTTGTGGCCCTCATAGTGATGGGGTGATAGACTTGGCACAGGGGACAGATAGAAGAGGGTAGCACAGAAAGATACCACAAGATGTTGCATCTGGGGAGGTGCTGATGGGGCCTCAATGGGATCGTGCACACACTTGGATAGATACATGCACATAGATGTCTCAACATGGGCCCTCACACTCACCAGGTTATTTCTCTATACACACACAAAACCAAAACCCACTGCCATCAAGTCTATTCCAACTCATAGTGACCCTATAGGACAGAGTAGAACCGCCCCATAGGGTTTCTAAGGCTGTAATCTTTACAGAAGCAGACTGCCACATCTTTCTGCCATGGAGTAGCTGGTAGGTTCAAACTACCAACCTTTCAGTTAGCAGCCAAGTACTTAGCCACTTCTCTATGCTGCACAGTAGTCCATTGTGTGAAAGTTGCATAAATTGTGTAAACGGGTCCATTTGAGCGGATGTCAAGTCTTTTATACCACAAAAAAAAAAAAGTGACAGATGACAACCTTGTTCAGGTGTAATTTTGTACAAGTGTGGGACATTTTGTAGGCTAAATTTCTTAGAAGTGGAGTTGCTGGGTTAGAAGTCCAGTTGAATTTTTTTTTTTTTTTGATGGATATTGCTAAATTTCCCTTACAGAAGTTGTGCAAAATTACCCTCCCACTATCAGAGAATGAGAAGTTTTAAGCAAGTGCTTCGATGCATTGGGTAAGGTATGTTTTTAAAGAAACAACATCAGGTGGGTTCCTAAGGAAGTTCCTCTTGGATGAGAATAACCAGAGATTTCTCTGCTCTGTATTTTCACATCCAAAAAATCCCCCACTGCTTGAGGAAAAGAGGCTTGTCCTCATCTGGGGAGGTGATGGTCCCCTCTGCCTGTGGTCCCTGCAGCCCTTCCGCAAACACAAACCGCCCCATAGAGTTTTCAAGGAGTGGCTGGTGGATTCAAACTTCCAAACTTTTGGTTAGCAGCTGAGCTCTTGACCACTATACCACCAGGGCTCCATTCTGCAAAGAGTCAGTGGGTAACCCAGAGGGCATATTGGTTGTGGGGGGAAGGCTTGCAGAGGCCAAGTCCAGATCAAGGACGGGAGAATCTGGGGCTGTTCAGCCTGGATGGAGCAGACAATCTCAGGGCCTCCTTGCTGTCCCCAAGTCCCTCCAGGCTATTCTGAGAGTGAACAGCCAGGCTCTGTGGCCCCAGAGGCAGCAACATGAAGCCTCAGGGAGTCACCCACGGCAAGTTCCAGCTTGATGACAGGATGACCTTTCACCCTGGCAAAGCTGAGCCAGAGTGCAAAGAGCCACCCTGTCCTGGGGGAGAGCAAACTGCAGGGCCTGGGCAGCCCTATCAGGGAGCTCCCTGCCTAGGGCTGAGGGTTAGTTAGGCCGAGGGTTCTGGGGACCCTTCCAACTCTGACGGCTGGGGCTCCCAGAACACAGGGCACTGAAAGGGGTGAGCCCCACAGTTCCTGGCAGACTGGGGGAGGGATAGACTCCAAAGAAATCACCACCCACATTATAATCTTTGCAGACTCAACTATTTCGCAGCCTGTTCCATAGCCTGCGCAGAGCAGCCTTGTTCAAAAGGCATATGTCAGCTCAGGGACCCCCTCCTCCCACTTCAACCAGAACCCTCTGATAACAAGCAAGCATCTGTCCCTCTGTGACTCAGTGCACAACATCTGTATGGATCCTGCTACACCCTCCATGCTCAGACCTGACCAGGTCCATGCAAGTCGCTGTGCCACAGACTTTCCTGCGGCCAGCGGAGGGAGCGGACCAAGGGAAAGGAGGGGTGGTGTAGGTGGCAGCAGAGGGCCATGCAGCTAGAGGCTTGCATTGCACAGAGGAGTAAACAGGACTAGAGCCTGGTCTGCATGCTCTTTCGACCCTGCAAGAATCTGCTTCTGCTATCTCCTATGAATGCTCATTCCCAGTTCTTACCTGCCAATTTTTCTTATACTGTACAGGTAGTCCCCGACTTAAGACGGGGTTCCGTTCCGATGACTCCGTCATAAATTAAAAAAAAAACCCTATGTGGTCTAGTCGATTCTGACTCATAACAACCTTAGAGGACAGAGTAGAACTGCCCCATAGGGTTTCCAAGGAGCGGCCGGTGGATTTGAACTGCCGATCTTTTGGTTAACAGCCGTCTCGCTTAACCACTGCACCACCAGGGCTCTGACGTAAGTTAAATACCTCATTTTTATTTTTTTAGTTTTCATTATTGCCTTTTACTATCAGTATCTTTATAAATATGATCTTTTTTGTCTTTGAGGGTTGTCATGAGAACGATAACATCAGCAAATTACCCTCTGCTGCAATGTATGTAGTACATATTACTAAGATAAGGTGTGCAAAAAAAAAAAAGAAAGAAAGAAAAAGGACGGTCTTAAGTGCGGTTTGTCCTTGCTCTTAAGTCAGGGACTACCTGTACTGAATTTTGTTAAAACAGAGCTTTCCAGCATGGTAGCGCCCCCGTGTGGTCATTGGATGCCTTCAAATTATATCTTGCCATGTTGTAATTCAGGGCACCTTCTTATCTGAGCTTTTTAGCAACCCGGTGTGGTGGGCAGGACAGGGCCAAGTATCCCCATTTTACAGATGAGAAGCCTGAGGAGGAAGCAGTTTGTCCAAAACAATCAGTGAGTCTGTGACATAGCTGGCAGCATAGTATCACCAGGTACTTTCACACATGATATCTCAGTCTTCACAAGAACCCAGGATGGTCAGACACATGGATGAAAAACCTAAGGCTCAGAGTGGGGGAGCAACTTGCCCAAGGTCCCACAGCTGGTGAGTGGCAGACTCAGGACTGACACACAAGACCAGCTCTCGCTCACCAGGTTGCTGTCCCTGCAGCTAGTCAAGACTGCTGAGCTGGACCCGTCCCGGAACTACCTTGCTGGCTTCCACCCCCATGGGGTCCTGGCTGCCGGGGCCTTTACCAGTCTGTGCACCGAGAGTACGGGCTTTTCTACCCTCTTCCCTGGTATCCGCCCCCATCTGATGATGCTGAGCTTGTGGTTCCGGGCCCCCTTCTTCAGGGATTACATCATGGCCGGGGGTGAGTCTTCCCACTCCTGAGTAGCTCAGAAGATGAGACTGCAGGCACGGAAGGGGGGATTTTAGAGATGGCTGCCAACAGTTCTATATTTCTTCCAAGAACATGTGCAGTGGGAGAAGCAGGCTAGACCCAAGGAAGCACTTCCCAAAGCACTGTATGGGGCAATGGGCTGGGGAGAATTGGGAAGAGGGAGAACTCAGTCCCAGACCTGAGGGAACTCCCAGCCTAGGGTGAGGGTAGGGAGATCCCAGGCTTCTGTGGGCACTGCTGGCCATCTCTTTCCTGGGCCTTTCCACCCTCACAGTCCCTGTCCCCTCACCCCATACCTGACCCACCTTCCTCTCTCCCCAGGGCTGGTTGCATCAGACAAGGAGAGTGTTGATCATTTGCTGAGAAGGAAGGAAGGCGGAAACCTGCTGGCCATCATTATAGGGGGCTCTAAGGAGGCATTGGATGCCCAACCTGGAGCCTACAGGCTGTTGCTGCAGAACCGCAAGGGCTTTGTCAAGCTCGCTCTGATGCACGGGTATCAAGCCTTTGGGACAAGCACTCTGGGTTCCATTGGCAATTGGCAAGGATTATACTTTGGTGGGAAGACAGAGACTAACGCAGATTAGATTCTCAGTCCACTCACAATGAAGACTATATTTTGGTGAGAGATGTACTGTCTCATACCCAAATACCCAGAAAAGTTTCCAGAAGGGGAGACTCAGTGATCAAAGAGACTAGGTGGGAAGGGACATGTTCCCCCAAAACTGACACTAGACCTGAGACCTATGGGATCTGGAAGAATGGCGTTTGCGGTGTATCCCAGAGCATTTCTCCCACCTTGGGGTGAAGCACCTTAGAGGCATAGGAGCCAGCAGGGGTGGGGGAGATTTTTCTAGAAAGTTTGCAGATGTTTTATATGTGAGAGGACTCTCTGAGGCATTCTGGTCTACCTGGCATGGTGCAACTGGGAGGTTGTGGCCCTAGGAGGGGCAAGGACCTGCCCAAGATCAGCAAGCAAGGCCATGGCAGGTCCGGGAGAGAACCCAGGCATCCTCCTTCCAGCCCAGGGCTTTGTCCTCTGCTCCAATTCCTGGATGCAGGGTTCCTGCAGAAAGCTAGGAGATCTTTCAGCTTGTGCCTCCTCTGGGGCCTCTCACACACCCTCACCTCTTGTCTCCCTCCAGGGCAGCTCTGGTGCCCATTTTCTCCTTTGGGGAGAATGAACTATTTGACCAGATTAGTAACCCTCCTGGCTCCTGGTTGCGCTGGGTCCAGAACCATCTGCAGAGTGTCATGGGTATCTCCCTCCCACTCTTCCACGGCCGTGGTGTCTTCCAGTACAGCTTTGGCCTCCTACCCTACCGCCGGCCCATCACCACCGTGGGTGAGCCAAGATCCAGACTAGGAGGGGTAGGCTGTAGGAAAAGGGGTCTGGGCTGGGTGCTGCAAGGGGACACGGAGATGGGCCAGCCACATCCCTGCCTTCATAGAGCCTACATTCTAGACTGGAACAGAAACACAAGCAGATAACCCTTACATAAGGCAGCTTGAGCTGAGATCTGTAACAAACACGAAGAACAACAGTCACTACTGATTACGGAGCACCTGCTGTGTGCCAGGCACGGCGCTGCCCGCCTTGCATGCAGCACCTCAGTTCATCCTAACAACATCCTAACAACCTAAATAAGGCTCAGAGAAGTTTAAGTGATTTCCAGAAGATCACATTGCCTTTGTGTAACTAAGTTGAGATTTGAATCAGGCTCTCTCTGATTTTTTTATTATGCCAGAGAAGGAGGGTTTAATTTTGACCCAGAGGATAGAATAAGGCTTATTGGAGGGAAAGGCATTATATATTAAGAAAAGGCCATTCCAAACCTGTTAAAATTGTGTGCAAAGTAGCAATTAGTAGGTTTTAAATTAGAACTCGAGGGATTTTCCTGTGAGTAATGGGCATGAGCTTTAGTACCATCTTTTTCAGCTGTTTGGACACCTCTTTTGTTTTCTTTTCAGATTCCTACTATCCTACCAGATTCCCCTGCCAAATCTGTAGAGGGAAGTCCATTTGTTTCCATCCACCCATGTATTTGTTAGTTGAGCACAGACTTGGTGAACCCCTATGCCATGCCCTGCCCTGCCCTGTGTTGTAAGGCAATAGTTTCATGAATTATAATACGACAGCTGCCTCCAGAGCTATTCCCAAGAGAAGTCAGAGGAGCTGCCTTCCCAGCAAGGTTGGGCCAGGGGAAGGAGGTTGGTTAGGGCCTTCTTGACCCCTTCCAAAGATGAGGAGGCACTGCAGGTCGGTGTGAAGGGAGGCGGCAGGGGAAGAAGAGTTGCTTGGGCTGTGGGCCTGCCTTATCATAGAAATACAGACATTTGCAACTGCAGCAGTGTAGACTTCCAGAACTGTATGGCCTTACAGGTTAAGAGCACATCCCCAGAATTTGAAACCTGGCATTGGATCTTCCTGGCTGTGTGACCTTGAACAAGTTACTTAACCTCTCTGAGCCTCATTGCCTCACCCATCAAATAGGAACAATATAGCTTCTATCCCCCTAGGACTATTATGAGGATGAGAGGAGATAATGCATATAAAGCACCTAACACATTGCCTGGGACATTGCAATGCTGGCTGTTGTTATATCAGAATCGATTACCCAATACATGTAAAAATGGTGGAAATGGCAAATGTTTTGTCATACATAGTTAAGCAAAATAAAAAAAGTTTTTTGATTTAAAAAAAAGTACAGTTAACATTTGAGCATTTCAACAAAGCTAAAATTTTCCTTTAAAATGTATAAAAGTAAATGAAAAAAATAAAAAGAATCAATCTCCTGAAAGTAGGTTTGAAAGGGATGGCAGTAAGAGCACTTTCCTGCAGGGATGACCATGAGGGTGGGCATCTGCCCCAAGGGGCCCTGTGACCCCCAGTGCTTCCACTCTGGGCCACCACCCACCTTTGTCCCTTACAGTGGGGAAGCCTATCGAGGTGCGGAAGATACTGCGACCCTCTCAGGAGGAGGTGGACCATCTGCACCAGCGCTACATCAAGGAGCTGTGCAACCTCTTTGAGGCCCACAAGCTCAAGTTCAACATCCCCATTGACCAGCACTTGGAGTTCTGCTGAGCATCAAAAGGCAGGTCACAGCCATGGAAGGCATTGTGGGGCCCAGCTGGAGGTGCTGTGCTCTGAGCAGGCTTCCTGGAGGTGCTGGTTGAACGTGTTTCCAGAGCCGTCCTAGACCCCTGCAAATTCAACCCATACCAGGCCATAAATCAGAGCTGGCAAAGTGGGAGAGGAGACTACTCTGGCACCCCTGATTTGCACTCCTGCTATGAAATCTCTGCAAGTCTCTCCCTCTCCTTGGCCGCCATCTACTCATCTGTGAAATGGGAGAGGGGCCTGGAAGAGAAAGATTTCTGAAATCATTGGTTGCAATGTCTCTCAGTGGGCAGAGAAAAGAGAACAGTAAATGATTATTGAGGTTTTCTTCCTCTAACCTTGAGTGAAAAGTTCCTGGGTGGCACAAATTGTTAAGCACTCGACTATTAGCCAAAAGGTTGGCAACTCAAATCCACCCAGAGGTACCTCGGAAGACAGGTCTGGAGATCTGCTTCTGAAAGTTCACAGCCTTGAAAACCCTATGGAGCACAGTTCTACTCTGCACACATGGGGTCACCATGAGTTAGAATTGACTCAACAGCAACTGATAACAACACTTTGAGTGACAGCGCCGAAGAAGCCACCAGCTTTAGGCCCTTTTACAAACCCCCTCATCCTGCAACCTGTCCCAGCTCCTCCCTCCTCAAAACTGGACAGGAGAGCATGGCCACTGAGCCCTGCACTCACTACGGAGTGACAGCCAGAGGCCCTGGAATGAGGCTATGGAGACCTGAGCCCTTCCTATGAGCCTCAGTTTCCCCAACTGGCTAAGATGACCTCTGAGTCTCTGCTCTGCATATGCTGAAAGCTCCACGAGGAGACCTCTTATTCGTCCTTTGCAACTTCAGCCCCTGACCTTGATACAAAAGGGAGGCTCAATAAATGTCAGTTCATTAAATGAAGGGATTCTATTTTAGTCCTCCTTTCTCCCTCCCTACCCCTCAACCAAGGAGTCCTGGTGGTGCAATGGTTAAGCACTTGACTGATAACAGAAAGGTCAGTAGTTTGAACCTACCAGCAGCTCCATGGGAGAAAGACCTGGTGATCTGCTCCTGTAAAGATCATAGCCTGGGAAGCCCTATGAGGCAGTTCTAATCTGTCCTACAGGGTTGCTATGAGTCAGAATCGACTTCAGAACATACATCAACAACAACACCCCTCAACCAAGGGGGCTGGTCAAAGTCTCACCTTTGATTCCCAGCCTGGCCCTTTGGCCTTGTATCAATCTTCCTGGAAGCTGGATCAGGTAGGGCCAGAGGAGATCCCACTGACCCCTTCCTGATCCATCAGCCTCAAGTGGACCACCTCTGGCCCTCTTCTGTAGGGTAAAAAGGGGGAAAGGATGTGTTAAAAGGCAGAACAGACCAGCACAGAGAACGAAGGCTGCATATGAAGTGTGTGTTAGTATGTGTCTGCAGAGTGGCTGAGGCAGGGCCAAATGCCCTGACTAGAAGAATTGTGGAGTTCTGGGTTTGGGACAGGGATCCCTGTAGCCCTTGCTCCCTCTTTACCTTCCAGGCCCTTCTCTCTGGGAGTCAGCAGTGAGGGGTCGGGGGTCTCTGGGCAGGACCAGAACTTGTGAATCCCCCTCACCCTCCAGCAGTGAAGGAGAGCCTTTTCCCTCCAAGAACTGGTCACACAAAACTACAACATGGGGGGCATTCTGAGAAGTGTAAATTTGGGTTCAAATCCTGGTTCCACCTCTTGTCAGTGACCCTGGGCAAGTCACTTCACCACTAAACATCAATTTTGTCATCTGAGAACTAAGGATTACAACATCCACCTCTGGTTGTGAGCGTTTCGTGAGAAACGAAGCCACTTTACATCCTTCATAGAATGCTGTAGGGTATATGTTAATTAATCATCAGATGATAAAGATACAGGGTATCCTGAAGGTGCCTATCATCCTATTAGGCAGTGGAGTATAAGGGTCACAAGAGAAGCAGGAATGAAGAAGGGGTTCAAGGAGGGAGCAGTGGTTTTCAGCCGAGGGGAATACTTAGAGGGAGGGCAAGATTTGCCAAGAAGATACATAACTCCTCATATTAGTTATCTAGTGTTGTGTAACAAATCACTCCAGGATTTAATGGCTGAACCAGCAACAATTTATTATTTCTCACAATTCTGTGGGTTGGTTAGATAGTTCTTCTTGGGTCTTGCCTGGGCCCTCATGCAGCTGCATTCAGCTGACTGGACAGCTGGCACTGGGACAGCTGGGGTGGCTGGAACTGTTGGGCTCTTCTTTCCACACAGGCACTAGGCCCCTATCTCTGCTGACTTGTCTTTTGTCATTCGGTGATGGTTGCGTTCCAAAAGAATGAGAGCCAAGCTGGCGAGGCCTCTTAAGTCCTGGACTGCACAAAGTGCACAGCATTATTCTAATGGCCAAAGCATGACACTGCCAGCCCAGAGTCAAAGTGGGAGGAATAGACTCTGCCTCGGGATGGAAATAGCAGCAAAGTCCTATTACAAAAGGGCATGGACACATTCAGGGATTCTTGTGGTCATCTTTGCAAACAATCCACCAAAAATTTATAAAATGAGAACCCATAGCAGAACCTTTTCCCCTCCTATCCCCCAATAGACACACATACCTTAGAATTACCCATGTGACCATAATAAAAGCCATAGTTTATCCAAAGGGTCCCAGCTCAGCCTGCACATCTCTGCCCCTGTCTCTGTCTTGCTCTCCACAATTCATCCTTCATGTGGCAGCCGGAGTGAGCTGTCTAAAGCACAAAGCTGACCTCACCACTCCCCTACTAGAAATCTCTCTGTGGATCCATATTGCTCCTAGGAAAGAATTCGTATCTGTCTGGGTCCCAGCAGGAACCAGATGGCATATTCTGATTAGGGTAATTTGAGATGGGATTAATAAAGGAAAAATTTTTTGAAGTGAGTGCAGAATGCAGGATGGAGCAGTAACCCAGGGCTGTGGCAGTGGGGCAAGACACTGCTACCACCCGAGGCCTAGGAGGACAAGCAGAGGCAGCAGTTACCTGAACCCAGGAAAGAGTCAGATGCAGGAGGACATCATTAGTCTAGGTGACCCTGCAGGGAAGGAGCTGGAATGAATATTCCCACCACATTGCCCTCAATCCCCAGCCAAGGCTCCCATTACCTGAACCCACTTGGAAGCTAGAGGGCACCATGAGGGCCTGTGGCTGCAGTCCATGCAGGTAGGTCTCCTATGGCAGAGGGAAGGGTGGAAATGGGTGGGAGAGTGGATCTGGAGGGGTCAACCGAAGATGGAGGATGTCTACCTCTAAGACCAAGCTTCTTAGCCTGTGTTCACCACTCTCCACCATCAGGCCTCAGTTCTGTCTGGCCTCCTCTATCTTCCTCCCTTACCCCTACAAACTGGTCATACTGAACTATTTGCAGTTCGTTCTGCAGTTCTCTCTCACCTCTGTGCCTTTGCCAATTCTGTTCCCTCTGCCTGGAATGCCATCTCCCCCATCCCACCTCACCCTCTGTCTGGGTAATTCCTATTTCAGTACAGGTTTTACCTATTCAGGGAAGCCTTCCCTGATCCCCATGGTTAAGTTTGGGGTTTCCTCTGGGTTCTCCAGACTTCCTCTTCCTCTGCCATAGCACTCAGCAGCCTGGGTGGTCCCTGTTTGAGTAACAATATGCACTGATGGCCCTGCCTCCTGTGCCATCTTCCAGCCTACCCCCGTGTACCACCTGAGTCATCTCGCTAAAATAAAACCAAACTCCCTAAAACAGTCTCCTCTGCTTCAGGATAAGGCCTAAACTCCTCATTCTGGTGTTCAAGACCCTTTATAATCTGTCCCATAGACTCCACCAGCCTCGCTTCCTGGACCTTCTTCCCCCGCCCATCACCTCTCACTGTTCTCTGAAGGCAGTCAGCTCCAGCACTTGCTGTGTCTTGGGGCAAGCTGTTCCCTTTCCCTAGAACACTCTGTCTCCTCTTCGACCTGGTGAACATCACTTTCCCCCAAAGATCACCTCCTTGGTCAAACCACATCATGCCCCACCCACCCTCAAACCCTGCCTTCCCATCCCCTTTCCTAAATCAGAGTTGGTTACCCCTCTTTTGGGCTAACTTTGGGGGTAAAGGGACCATGGTCATTAATGGATGAGAAGAGACTCCTCTGACTCCCAGTGGACTAGGAATCCCTGAAGGCTAATACTATATCTTCCGCTGCCTTCAGCCCCTACCCTAGCTCCCAGCACAGGACATGTGATTGTGAGTTGATGGTATAAATGAATTCTCACATGACAACTTCCTTGAGTCCAGCACACCCTAGGCCTGGGGCAAGGGTGAGGAAGAAGACCCAGACCTTGCTTTTGGAAGTGATTGAATTAGTTATCTACTGCTGTATAATAAATTACTCTAAAATGAAGCAGCTTTAAACAATAAACATTTATTATTTCACAGTCTCTGAGGGTCAGGAATCTGGGAGTGGCTTAGTACCGTGGTTCTAGTCAGGGTTTCTCGTGAAGGAGCAGCCAGGCTGTTGGCTGGGGCTGAAGTCTCAGAAAACTTGTTTAGGGATGGAGGATCTGCTTCCAAGTTCATAATGTAGCTGTTGGTAGGAGGCTTCAGTTTCTCATCATGCAGGCTCCCCACAGGGCTGCTCATGACATAGCTCTTTTAGAGTGAGTGATCTGAGAGAGGGAAAGAGTGAGATAGAGAGAGGTAGACAGAAAAAGAGAGAGGCCTTTTATACCTAGTCTCTGAGTCATACATCATCAATTCTGGCCTTATTCTGTTGGTTAAATGCAAGTCACTAAGTCTAGCCCACATGCCATACAAGGGCTGGGAATGCCAGCGATGGTGATCACTGGGGGCCATCGCGGAGGCTGGCTACCACAGTGACAGACAATGAGCTCTCAGAGACTAGACTAGGCCACATCAATGCTATGTACTACTGAAAGATGGTTTGCTTACAGGACAGAGGCTAAGTTGGCCATGGAGAGGGTACCCAAATGGGTGGGGGCAACTACTGAGCAAAGGGTTGGAGGTGAGAATGGTGAGATACCCCCTGGCTTGACTAGGATGGAGTACAAGGTGGCTGTATTAGTTTCCTAGGGCTGCCTTAACGAAGTGTCACAGACTGTGTGGGTTAGAACAACAGAAATTTGTTCTCTCGTAATTCTGGATGCTAGAAAGCTGAAATCAGGGTGTTGGCCATATTGATTGCTTCTGAGGGCTCTGAGGGAGAATCTGTTCCATGCCTCTCTCCTAGCTTTTGGTGATGACTGGAAATCCTTGGTGTTCCTTGACTTGTAGATAGATGCATCACTCCAATCCTTACCTTCATCTCCATGTGGCCATCTGTGTCTGTGTCTCCTCACCTCTTTATAAGGACACTACTCAATGGATTAGGATCCACCCTACTCTGGTATCACCTCATGTTATCTGATAACATCTCTAAGGACGCTGTTCCCAAACAAGGTCACATTCAGAGGTACTAGGGGTTAGGACTTCAACACATCTTTTTGGGGTACCCCATTCAATTGATAACAGTGGTCATTAGACTTGAGGGTACCAGGATGGGAGATGGGAGGATGGTGGATAGAGGGAGACTTGAAGGGTCTGAGGAAAGAGGATTCGCCCTCTTTTTCAGCAACCTTGGAGGCCCCATGTTGAAGCTACCAACAGCACAAGACAGAAGGGGCACAGAGCCCTGATCTCGGAAGAGGGCTGCCCAAGAGAGCTATTCAATGAGGAACAACCACACTGAACTTTGTGTGAGCAAAAAAATGTCCTTTTATTGTGTTAGTCTACTTTGATTGAGGAGTATTTGTTATAGCAGTTGGCCTCCCCAACTAATACAACGTGCCAGGAGATGCAGACATAATGGTTCACTTACTAGTTTAGCACCTCCTAACTGACACCTCCTCTGGGCCCACAAAGCCTGACGCAGGAAGC